CGAAACTACACCACGATTTGAAGCGATGTCCAACATATACGATAGCTCATGATGCTAACAACTTTCATGCAGTTGCATGAAACTAAAGTGAATATCAAATTTATTGACAGTTTTACGCAAAAAAATGGTCAGGATGCCATTGACATTGATCTATCAAGATACTAGAGTCACAATTCCAAAGCGCACCAATGTGTAGCCGATGATCACTTCATTCAAGAAACCCGATGTCAATGGATGCAGGTGGCATATCACGAGCAGACCTGGAGAGGGGAGAGAATATTCACAGTGATTCTCAAAATCACAGGTATTAGAATATTGCAACTTTGATCCTACTTACACATCATCCATTACATGATAAACTACAACGAAATGAGGCATGAGAGATTAAACAAAAGAAAAACACACACCCAACATATCTTTAAATTATTGAAAATTTAAAAGTTAAAAAGAAAATTGTTTCTTGCCATAGTATTAACTGTATTTTACTTCATTCTCACAAAAATGCTTAAAGAACAAGTGGTACTACAGTGGCACATATTTTCTTGCATTATTGGGAATGGTTACGTAATATTATAATATTGCAATTTCTGAACTCACTTTAAAAAAGTCCAAAGAATTTAAAATGTAGCGCCTGCATATCTGCAATTATTACGACAGACAGGAACAATAGTCTCTTCTTACCAAAAGAAGAAGAAAAAATCTTAATTGTTACATTATTTGTAGCACATTGTACAGACAAGCAAGAATAATTTCACATAGTATAATTTAAACATCTAGAATTCAAGGGTATCTAATATATCGCATTATGAATATATAAATATAGAATGTAACTACAGTATCATTACGTTTCATTATGAATTTTCCTGACTAATGTACTAGTTGAATGAACCATTTTATTAAATGTGAAGACGTAACGATGTTAAGAAAATAAATCCTGCTTATCCTATTCATATGCCATTGAACAATGGGAAAGTTATTCTGAGAACTTCACACTACCATGCTGCCTTATCCCTACTGCTTTGCAAGGCAGCATGAACGATTATATAAAGTAACTCCTGATAAATAAATATTACTAATTAAACTGATAAATAAATATTACTAATTAAACTACTAAATAACTAATAAAAATCTTGAAAGATTCTCGCGAAATAAGTGTGGAATATTCCATTAAAACTTACCTATGTGTCATGCAATATAATGCAAAAACTAATCATTCTTGAAAAACTTAAAATGTCTATTGGAAGATCTATTTTTGATGAACAGATTCCATAAATAAAAAAAATCTATCTTCATTATTGTAGTTGTAGTAAGACGCTGAAAAATGTTTGACTTTTGCAGTTTTTGAAAGTTTTGGGAGGACAACGATAACACAACCTATGTCATTTCTTTATTTTACTATCAGAGGATAGCGTGGAGCCATTTTTGAGAAAATTTTTAAAATGTTGATACTTCATGCAAAGTACCAACCTATGATCAAAATATCTGCTTCACATTGAAGGGGCAGTGACATCACATCAATGAGGGAATATAAATTTTGGTGAAAATAATATTTATGGTTGAGCCGCTAGCATTGTTTATGGACGGATGGAAGTTTTGCCGTCAATCGATAATTTGATATGACGGACCCACCAAACATTGATTCTAACAATAACTACATGCTAGAAGTAATTTACTTCAAACAGGAATGAGATTTACCCATTTTCGTTACCAGTTTTCTTTTGTCAAAAATTCGCAGTTTTCCAGGCACGATTACCATAACTTCTCTTTTTTCAAAGCGACGAGAATGTTTCGCCCATGCTCCAATTTGCGAGTAAGAAAATTCTCCATACATACTACACTTCAATGAATTCTTAATGCTTGAGCGATTCTAAATAGTACAAACTCTAACTCAAAATTATATGAACAGTAATATTTTCAAAAACGTGCTTATGCAATTATTAAATAAATGTCTTAAAAAATGTTAAATTTTTGTAATTGATGAAATTTTGAAGGTTTTACTGAACATTGGACCATTTTAACAAAGATACTTTCTTAGAGCAAAAAATTTTACAAGAAGAAAAAATTTGATTAATCGATTTTGTATTTCTGGGCACCTCAACTATGGCTGTTATTAAACCCGTAAGTGTAGTGCATATTTTGTTTTGTCACATGATGCGATGGTGATCTTTCCTTGCTGATGGCGAAATCTGGCGCTGACCTACACATCAGTATGTGGGGTTTTCCCCAATATAGTATCTCCCACCAGCGGTGAACTGATGCCCGGAACCACATAGACAGGTTGTTTCGTAGGAAAAACTTTAAACTTCAATATAAATATTTCCAGACATATTTCATAATTTTAAATCTTTTGGGGGGAATATTTGTAAGTAAGGAGTTGGTTCTTATGCCCTAAAAATCTTGAAATATGCTTTTAAAAATATGTATTTATGACCTTAAAATTCTCAAATATGCACTTTAATATGCAGTTAAAATTACCAATATTTCATTTCCTGCACAAACCTTTTATGATAAAATTCAGCAGAAGCAAGCTTGGAATAAAAATAAACATTTTTGTGCAAAATATCGTCTACCTTCGTATACACCTTAGTAAAGAACAGTGTAAGTTTTGTTGAATTTCTGCTGCCTAGTTAAAAAAACAGAAAGAAGAAATTTCTTACATTTACACAAGCATCTATTGGAGGGGAAAGAAAGAAAGAAATAAAGAAGGAAATAAAGAAAGAAAAAAAGGAAAGAAAGAAAGAAAAGAAAGAAAGAAAGGAAGAAAGAAAAGAAAGAAAAGAAAAGAAAGAAAAGAAAAGAAAGAAAAGAAAAGAAAGAAAAGAAAGAAAAGAAAAGAAAGAAAGAAAAGAAAAGAAAGAAAAGAAAGAAAAGGAAAGAAAGAAAAGAAAGAAAAGAAAGAAAAGAAAGAAAAGAAAGAAAGAAAGAAAGAAAAGAAAAAGGAAGAAAAGGAAGAAAAGAAAGAAAAAAAGAAACACCAACAGTGACAAGCTCTTTGCAATTTAAGCACCTATCCTTACACGAAAATACACCAGCTGGAAAAATCGGCCAAATAGCATTATATATTAATCTACTACATAGCATCCTAACTAAATGTCAAGAAATTTTAAAATAATTATACGAGTCACAATACCAATATACCAATACAATAACAAGAAATTTTACTTAGCAACGCCCTGAAGCAATGGAGGAAAATATGCCAAAATCATAGAAATTCGCTCCCCATTTATAAGTATTACATGATATAACTTAATTTTAAAAATATTACTCTCACACAAGTAAAATTCTTACACTTTCTGACTTTCAATTAGAATTTAATAAATGGAATAATTAAAATAAAAGTTTTAAAAAGCATTAAAAATATTCAGAAGAAATCTGGGGCATTTCACATGAATATGTACACAAATAAATTAACTCTAATATTCTCACTTGAAAATGAAATTCAGTATTAAAATGGTGAATTCCGCAATCTCCATTTTATTCTACAAAGTGAAAATAAGAATCCTACAAAAGCAAGTCGTTAAAAAAGCAGACAAAAATCAATATACCAATTTTAACTCAAGACAAGTTAATTACAGCAAATAATTTAAGATTGTGCAAGATGAAATTTGCCTCCACATCTTTGAATGTAGTAAAAAAAAATTGCATCACATCACAGTAAATACTCTAAACTACATAATATTTATAATGTGGGAAAAGATCAATACATTTTGAATGAACTTTAAAACGAAAAGTGGTAAGTAGTGATACAATCCCCTAATTGTCATTACACAACATAAGCAACGTAATTAAGAAAACTGAATAGTTGTAAGAACAATTAATACACACACTACACAACCAACCATATTCCAGATATGTTCAAATTATGTGAACTAGATTCAAAATCTAGAGTAGTATTTATCTTCTATTTTCAAAAGTAGTAACAAATACTAATATTAATAGAGGCATATAAATTAAACTAACACTGTAATGAAATACCTTCCATCAAAATCATATATGAATTAATATTACACAATTTATGAGGAGTAAAATCACGTCTGGCTAAGAATGACAAATGTTATGTCGTGAAAAAATAGAACAGTTTTATTCTAGTTTAAATAACGTAAATGAACACTGAGGCATAATTTCTTGCTCAAGCAGGGCAATATATTGCTTTGGCCACAAGATGTTAACATTACTTCAAAATACATTTTTTTGTCTACTTACTTTTTTAAATAAATATTGAACAAAAAAATGGACAGGTATACGAATCCTTTATATTTTGTTTACTAAATCGTGACATTATTATTATTATTATTATTATTATTATTATTATTATTATTATTATTATTATTATTATTATTTGAAAAACAGTAAAAGAAAAAAATCACATACAAATTTAGATTAAGGTGCAGATTCAAAGCACCAAGAAAATATAACATACCTCTTTTGAAAGACAATTGTCCAACGACAAAAGATGCTAATCATACCATTTTGGTTTGATGGTTGTATAATTCGCAATGCTGAATTAAAATTCAATTTATTCTTAATTTTATGTTGTCATCCTTTACATAGATACTTCCTTACAGAATTTCAGTTTTTTCATAGCAAAAAAGTCGATGGTAAAAAGGAGGTAAAGATAACAATGAAGCCTTATGATTAGATCTCTGGAAGGCAAACAATCATTTTCTCCAGAGTTTTGCGACAACTGAGTGGCCTATGTATATTAATTCCACTCGTGCATAGAGAAATCAGGTAACCGAGGTTCAACTTCTTACAAAAATAATTTTAAAATGGTAAACATCATACTATTCAGAATATTAACATTAATGGGCAGGTATTGGTTCACTTACTTTTCAAATTTTCTTTAACTTCTTAAAATGTTCTTAAGAAAAATACAAACACCAATTACATATTTTTAAATGTTATAAATTAAAATATAAATAAATTATTAATTTATAATACAATGTTTGTGAGGCATAGTAACATAATAACCTATTAATGTTTAATGAAAAATGACATACCACAGAGTTTTCGTTGGCTTTGGACAGAATATGTATCTCTGTCACATCCTTTCCCAATATGTGAGGTGGCAAGACTTAATTTGGTCTCAATTGTACGAACAGAACACGGAACATCGCACAATTCCAATTCAGCATCAGGAAATAAATCTTCTCTTCCTGTCCCCGGGGCATAGTCAATTCTTTCAGGTATACCTGAAAGAAAATAAATTTTATGTGTAATTTTAAATTTATATTAAGAATTACATTTCATAATTCCTTTTTAACGAGCATACAAAATCCATTGTTTTAAACCTCCAACAGAACAATAAAAAATGTTAACAAATATAGCAAAGATTTTTTTCCTCCCCTTTCCCTTTCTCCTTCTTCTTGATCTCATTACCAGTTTTTCATTTACATCAACTTGTCAATAATGAAGAATTGCTAATATTCTCACCTTTCCAGCCCAGTTTACAGACTCTATTCACTCTAATAGTCACCATAACAGGCACAGACTGCTTCATTCCACAATCATAAGCCACTACAGAGAGAATGTGATTGTGGCTCCTCTCATAATCCAAAGGTTCAGTATTACGAATAGCTCCTGGAACAAAAAAGAGTACAATATGCAGTGCTAATAATAAGAATTCCAAGACTGAAATGTAGTGACATGAATATGATAAGAATGAACTTCCTCCTCGTCCAACAAAATATTAACTTGTTTTATTTTGATGTGTACTTTTACCAAAGGTATTGAGACATTAAACAATAATTAGCCAAAATATGCTTTAAAAAAATACAACATTATTAAGTTCTTACGCATGAGTGTTCGCATATGTTTCAATATCACCCTCGGTTATTACTATTACCATCATCAATGTATATAACTTGCTAAGGAATTAGGATGGTTTTGTATGATTTGTAAGGAACCAGCGACACAAAACCCACCAAGTGTGCAACTCCTGGAGAGAAAAATAACCTCCAGTCCTAGAGATGAAAAAAATTGAAGTTTGGTGAATGATGACTGTTTTTTTTTTTTTTAAATTCTGTTGACAAGCTACCACAAAACTCCCTACAGATTTCAACATTTTGGCTCGCAAAACAAGCAGTATTCTCATTAAGAAACAACGAAAGCAGGTTTGATTCACACCACCACACTTCTAATCAGTTAAAAGTCCAATAAATTATTTTACAAATTGCAATAACATAACAATAAACATAATAAGCCTTTGCATTGTTTACACTGTAGGTTCTGTTGGATTGTGGCTTTTGTTCTCAACAAAATTTATGAAAAGTGAACTGGAAATCGAGCTCGGGGTTTCGTGCTTGGTTAGCCACACTAATCTCAGAGTTCTTGTAAGATGATGCACAGGACATCTGTTCAATTTAGAACACAAGCTTATCGAAGCAAGTCTAATAAGCTGAAGATGAATTTGAGGCTTAAAAAAAGAAACAAAAGCCTGTTGAGGGGGACTTGACAATGAAGCGGTTATAGGACAAGACCTATTTCGCAATGATGAGCCTCACTTGACATAATGCACAAGGGGTTAAAGAGACATGTTATGTAGTCAAGTATTATATGAAATCTGTTCCAAACAAGTCACCAAGCCCTAGAGTTTTAGATTTTATCTAAATGATCTTATGCTCATACTCACAAAACATCAAGGTTTGTTGTTTTATGCATATACAAATAACATACTTTGTGCTAGGTATAAAAAGACCCTTTGTGTACTTAAAGAAGTAAAAAGACATATCCTGGCAGAATATTAAAGACCTGCATTGGGAAATTGAACGTGTAAAACAGTAACTGAACTTTGATTTACTACTTCTGTTTCTGAATTGAAGTAGGAATAGTTGTTTAAAGCCAGACCAGAGGTGACTGAATTATATTAGACATGACGATTGCATCATGTGAAATTGTTGCAGTTTCTACATATTTAAGAGCATTTAATGGAATGCTGAAAAGGGTTTATTTCTGAAAGTCTGAAGAAGACACAAGCATTAATGAATAAATTAATAATTTAGTTAGAATTAAGATACAAAAGTATCAGTAGTTAGTATATTGACGTTTTGTTTACTATCCACCTGCCCCCTCTTCTCATGAAAACTCTTAATTTGCTGCTTTATAAATTTTAGAACAGATTAAAAAGCACTAATTTTATATTTTTAGAGCTTAAAATTTCAAAGTTTACCTATTATTCGGTGAAAAAAGAGAAAATTGTTGAAAAATTAACTGCAACTTCACATCTTCATTATACAGAATCAAAACAGGTTTATTTCACTATTGATACCCGAATATAAAGAAAATACATAATGGAAATACAGTTGACTCTGGTTATAGTATACTTTCGGGGACAAACCTTTTTAGTTCACAATAACCAATGTCATAATTTAATACTCAATTTTGTCCCTAATGATTGATTTGATTGACACAGAGATAAAGCAACCATAACAGCATGAATAATACAAAACACCATGAACTGAAAATTTCAATACCTTTATTTGTCCTTAAAAATCAATTATTTTAAATTGTTTGGTTTGTAGATTTTTCATTAGTAATTTCTCTAATTCCTTCTCCAGAGTTCTTGCGTTCTCAATACTTGATTCTGCATTGTCTTCTGTCTCTAAGAATCCTAATGCAATCTTGTCACCCTTTAAAGCCTCTTGCACACGTGGAACACTGTCCCACTTTGTGAAGGCTCTTTTTATTCGCCTAATAATATACAATATCGTTTTGATAGCATGATGGTGCAAGTGGTTAATGAAACCGATCGCTTTTCCAGACGGAGCGGCAGGTATCTCTACACGGTAGGGATATGGCAGGCGCGCACTTCCGTTATCGTCTACATAGAACTCAACATGCTTTGTCTGTCATCAAGTTTGAAATTGAAGCACACAATCATGTGTTGCAGCTGCCAGTTGTAGCCCACGCACGACATGGTGTTTGTTTCTGCAATAAAAGTGAGTGGCCTAAGGTCATCTGATTGATTATTGGAGATTTCTTTGATTATCTTATCACCTTGGGCCAACTATGTTTTTTCAAGCTGCCTAGTATTGGAATTTGTGGCATTGCCAGCAGAAAATTAATTTTCAGGACGTATTTCCAATGTTCACTATGGCCGGAGGTTGTTTCACTGTAACTGAACCTTCTTATGCTTATTTGTAATGGAAGTGAAACTGGACAAACTACTTAAGTTAACTACAAACGGAGTCAACTGTATGTTACACTAGTGGCCTGAAACAGTAATGTGAAAATTCAAATCAATTCAGTTTTAATTATAATGATTTTTTTTTGCTCCAAATTCTTTTTATGCTTATATGTTATAATTTCAGGATTGCAAGAAAAAAAGAAAAAGAAAAGAAACGAAAATACTCAGCAGGTATATTTGGTGAATGTTACTTTTTAAGTTTAGTATATATATATAAAACAATTTTATCATTCGAAAGTTATTGAAGATTTAAGTTCTCAAGTTGCTGAAGATAAAAGAATTGTAGAATTGAGGTACATTCAGCAAATATAAATATGGGGCATTGAAAATTTGCCCCTCCCCCTTCCATTATAACTATCAAGCTCTTATAATCGTTACCAGAAACAAATTTCCATTAATGTTTTGTAAGGTTATGTGACAAATGTGTAACATGAAGGGAAATGCGATTACACAGCAATTTTTTTCCAAGTTAAATTTTGTACTTGTTTCTGTGATTGATATTTCCAGACCCATCAACTACTATTATCATTAGGCCTGTTAGTGTAGGAAGAGTTTTATACCACTGGACCAGTGAACAGACAGCGATATTCTTCCCCTACTGGATGGTGTGAACCTACTTGTCAGCTTCTGAGGGATTTACCCATCTAGGTATCTCATCAAGCAAGGACAAGCTCTCAGCACCTGTCAGGAGTGGTAGAGAAGTGCATATAAGTAAGAGTAAGTGTGTGTAATGGGATGAGAGACCCAATATTGAGAGAGAGATCATTGGATGAAGTCTGTGTCCCCATTTGTAAAGGCATTTGCCCAGAATATACATGACAGAATTTATACAAACAATGGAATACTACTGTTGACTGCTAAAAACATTCCTACAATGGCTGAATTTGAATTAGCTATTTAGTAGATGTTAAAAATCTGCACACGCTTGGAACTCGAATCTCGGATTTCCGATTAGATACTACAGAGACAACAGTAATGCTGCCTTTGAGCTAACTCAGCTAGTCTTATTTCTTAAACTTCAATTGGCAATACTGGCAAATGTAAATTGCATTTTATTAGTTTACTTTGTAATAAGATATAGATGTTTGTTGTGATTAAATTTGAGTTTTTAATGTAGTTTTTCCAACACAATTTATATTTTGTTGTTTTATTAGAAATAATTCTCAAAATCGTGTAAATATTTTTTTGCACAGGTTTAAAAAAACAGGTGAGCGTTTGAGACCGGGCAAAATTTTGCCAATCATGGATACTTTCCTTGTCTTTTTTAACCCCCTGATTTTGCAAAAATAAATGCAAAGGCAATCCTTCTATGCCTATTTAAAAAGGAAGAAGAGAAAATAAAAGAGAGCAAAGAGAGAGAGAGAGAGAAAGAGAGAGAGAGAGAGAAAGAGAGAGAAAGAGAAAGAGAGAGAAAGAAAGAGAGAGAGAGAGAAAGAAAGAGAGAGAGAGAGAAAGAAAGAGAGAGAAAGAAAGAGAGAGAGAAAGAAAGAGAGAAAGAGATAAAAAGAGAGAGATAAAGAGATAAAAAGAGAGAGATAAAGAGATAAAAAGAGAGAGATAAAGAGATAAAAAGAGAGAGAGAGAAAGAGATAAAAAGAGAGAGAGAAAGAGATAAAAAGAGAGAGAGAGAAAGAGATAAAAAGAGAGAGAGAGAAAGAGATAAAAAGAGAGAGAGAAAGATAAAAAGAGAGAGAGAAAGATAAAAAGAGAGAGAGATAAAAAGAGAGAGAGATAAATAGAGAGAGAGATAAATAGAGAGAGAGAGATAAAAAGAGAGAGAAAGAGATAAAAAGAGAGAGAGAGATAAAAAGAGAGAGAGAGATAAAAAGAGAGAGAGATAAAAAGAGAGAGAGAGATAAAAAGAGAGAGAGAAAGAGATAAAAAGAGAGAGAGAGAAAAGAGATAAAAAGAGAGAGAGAGAAAAGAGATAAAAAGAGAGAGAGAGAGAAAGAGTACGATAGTATTGGTATATAGTTTTAGTGCAGTGTTATTCCACTGCTACTCCAAAAGTTATTTGCAATTTTCCTAGTATAAATAACATACAAATAAACATAAAATATAAATTCTAGAAATTTTCTTTGGAACTAAACTGTGCTTACTCTGATAATGAAAGAGGTTTGCTTCAGAAGGTAAATAAGTATATAAGGAATTATATTAAAAACTGAACATTTAATGCATCTATTTAATAATTAAAAGCAGTTACCTCTAAAACTGTTAATAATAATACTACTACTGTAATTATTCTACTAATGACTTGAAATGATGGTTATATAATGAATACCAGCTCAAAATAAATGCCCATAACATCATTACAAGAATTTTTCAACATCATGAATGAATGGACTATTAAAGTCCATGGGCTACATGAATTTTACCCATTATTGCTATTGTTTTA